GACAAAAAGTTGCAATCATAAGTGATGTTCCAGGTTATGGCACTGAAGATTTGGGCATAGAGATAATTATGCAATTGCCCAACTTGAGAACCAGAATTTGACCAAAGACATACAAACAAATAAATGTACAATTGAAAGGAATTGCATGTATTGCATCCAAGCAAAGGGGACAAGACCAAGTTTCAGCAACAATCATGAACCAAACCAAAGTGCCCCCTAGAGCTCATTCATAGTGATATTTGTGGTCCAATGAAAACAGAGACCATTGGGAACAGATATATTTTGACTTTCATTGATGATTTATCTAAATACACAGTTACCTACTTGATCAGGGAGAAGAGTGAAGTATTTGAAAAACTCAAGACATATGTTGGAATGGTTAGCAACAGGTTCCAGAGAAAACCGCTGGCAATCCAAACTGACAACAGGGGAGACTATGTGGGACATGACATTAAAAGGTATTTAACTGAACAAGGTACTGAACATCAACTCACTATCCCGTACGCACCAGAACAAAAATAGCATTGCTGAGAGGAAAAAACACTCCCTGACAGAAATGTGCAGACACATGTTACTAGAAGCAGATCTACCAGAGAAATACTGGGGAGAAGCCATCAACACTTCCACTTATCTACAAAACAAGTTACCCACAAAAGGTGTCAAGAGCACGCTGTATAAACTGTGGTATGGGCAGAAACCCAGCATTAAACATCTAAGAGTATTTGGGTCAAAAGCCTTTGTCTACATTCCCAAAGAAAAGCGGTCCAAGTTGGATTTAAGGATTGAGCAAGGTATTTTTGTTAGATATGTTTTGGGATGTGAGGGATATAGAATCCTTGATCCAAAAACACAAACTATATGAATTTGCAATGTAGTCTACATGGGTGAAAAGGAAAAATCTAAAACTACAGAAGAAATGGACATTATCAAAGAAAAGTAGTCCAAGTTGGATTTAAGGATTGAGCAAGGTATTTTTGTTGGATATGTTTTGGGATGTGAGGGATATAGAATCCTTGATCCAAAACACAAACTATATGAATTTGCAACCAGGAAGGGATGAGGAACAAGATGTCAGATGATCAGCTAGAGCCAAGAAGAGAGTACCATGAAGAAAACTGTCCTACCTGACCAAAATAGAGACTGCAATGGAATAGGGTTACCAGCTTTTGGGGGCTCCAATCTGCTGCTGGCCAGCTGGCAGGTGGGGGAAGCCCCACCCCCAAAAAGGGATGTTGCCAGTTGACATCCCAGACATGATGATGTCACAGGGGGGGTTATGCTCTAGTTTTGGGGCAAACACTATGGTTTTGAAAGCAAAAAAATCCATAGAGTTTTGCCCAAAAACTAGAGTGTCACCCCAACATGATGATGTCACTTCCAGGTGATGTCATCATGGCATGCATGCAAGAAGATCCAGAAGCAGAGCCTGGATCCCCCTGCGGGTCAGGCAGAAAGATGGAGAAATGCCACAGAAAAAGGAATTAAATTTCCAATAAGAATCAGAAATGGACATTCACAGAAGCACCTCCAGGAAGGAGGGTAGAATACTAATAGATTTTTCTAAACATACAGTTGTTAAACTCAAACACTGTTTTTCTTTGTTTTTCTTTTTTCATCCCCTGGGGGGGAGGTTTTTATTGTTTTTTTTCAGACTACAAAAACTACAACAGAAAAAATGGGGAAGGGAACTACATCTAGGGGGAGAAAGAAAAAAGACCCACAACTAACTAAAAGCCCAAGAGTAGGAGATCAATACATGAGCTTAACATCATGCTATTTTCAAAAAGCTACTAATAATACAATGAATTTAGTCGGTTATGCTAAAATAATATCGTTTAACCATCCCTTTAACTGTTTAAAGAAAATCCCAGAGCATCCCCAAGTTATTTCCACTTTTTTCAGGCACAAATCAGAGTCCTTCAGCCCTTTTTTATTCTTATCTTTTCTAATCCTCAGTTTATATGGGCTTTTGGGGGCAGCCACCCCCTTTTCGGAGGGGGAGTCCTCGTCCGAAGACCCCAAGTCCAACTCGCCATCAGATTTGCTTTCTTCTTCCTCCCCTTTGCCCTCTTCTAGTTTCTCAAGTTGTATCTGCAGAAATTCACGTGCTTTAAAGAAGAAGAGAAGAAGAGAGCTAATGCTTCACTCAGTTGTTTCTTCAGATTCTCTCCTTTATTTTCTGGGACCCCTTGAAACCGTAGGACCAAATTTGCTTTATCCATTTGTAGCTGTAAAAGCTTTGACTCTTTCGTAGCTTGCTTAATTTCCAACTTTTGCACCTTTTTCTTAACCTTTTTAGTAGTGACGTTCATTTCCTTCACCTTCTCTCCCATTTGCTCTGTTGCTTTTAAGGATTGAGTCAACTGCATCTGCTGCTCTGCCGGACTCTGCCCAATTGTTGACAATTGTTGTTTAATGCCAGTGATCTCGTCCAGGAGAGGGTGCAGGGAGTCAGCTAAAAGTTTTGCGAGCTCAGTGACCTCATCTGTTCGGGGACTGCCACCTAGTTTCGATTTCAATCGCTTCTCTTTCTCCGGTTTCTTCCCCGCCATCTTTTTGGATTTGTTTACTTTTCAAAAAAGTTGCAAAAGTCTCTGATGTTTGCCCGAACGCTTTTCCGCACTCTGGTAAGTCTCTCAAAACAGTTTTAAACACTTATTTTTCCGCTCCCCCCTCTTTCCTTCCGTGTTTCGTCGATGCGTTTGGGAGGGACCCCTCCCCCGCTCGCTTTCCCGTCGCTCTTTAGAGGGGGCAGCTTCTTTTTATATCTTCATGCTCGCTTCAACCTGACTCACAGTTCGTTGTTGGCCATTCGGCCTCGCTCGTCATCATTTATTTCGCCCAATCTCCAATGCTTGTCCTGGTCAGCAGCACTCGTAACATGCGTCACTCAGCGGCAGGGGCGGAGGGGCGCCTCAATTCCCCGGCTTTCGGCCATCAAAGAGGTTGCCCCTCTTTGTTTGTTGTTGTTGTTCAGTCGCACAGTCAAGTCCGACTCTTCGCGACCCCATGGACCAGATCACGCCAGGCCCTCCTGTCTTCCCCCGTCCTCTAAAGTTGGCTCAATTTCATATTCGTTGCATCTATGATACTGTCTAACCATCTCATCCTTTGCCGTCCCCGTCTTCTTTGACCTTCAATCTTTCCCAGCATCAGGGTCTTCTCCAGTGAGTGCTCCCTTCTCATTTGGTGGCCAAAGTATTTGAGCTTCAGTTTCATTATCTGGCCTTCCAGGGAACAGTCAGGGTTGATTTCTTTTAGGATTGACTGATTTGATCTTCTTGCAGTCCAAGGGACTCTCAAGAGTCTTCTCCAGCACCATAGTTCAAAAGAATCTATTCTTCGGCACTTGGCCTTCCTTATAGTCCAACTCTCGCAGCCATACTATAAGCCCCCTGGCTGGGAGCCTTTTACCAAGGCTCCGGGTGTGTGTGTGTGTCACAACCCGTTGGACCCGCTCCCACACGCTGGTGTGCAGTTTACATCCCCGGGACGTCCGGGAGATGTGTTTGCCTATGTGTTGGCATAAACCGGAAGTTTTTCATTAAACTCGAACACTGTTTTTCAAAGTTGAAATTCTACGAAGAAAATTGAATCTTGTAGACTTGCACAATAGACCTTGAGAAGGGGTGCTGGACTATACAAGGTCTATAGTGCACCTATTTGGAGAAGATCAGAACAACAGCTTATAGATGACAGTTGAAGGACTGCTAGCACAGCTAGATTAGGGACTTCCCACAATTTCAAATTATGTTCTTCCTGTCTCCTGATTGGCTCTTTGGAGACTCCCTGCTCCAGCTGAGCCATCCCCCTTTGTTCCTGTCTCTCACAGCAGTTAGTCAGTTAAGTCTCTCTCCCTCTCCTCTGGTCTACCAGTGTTTATTTCTTCTTTAATAAACCGAGTTATTGTCTTTAAACAGTTGGTGCTCTGTTCCTCTGCATGTTTAAACTCTGCCAACATAAATAAGGTCTAAACAGGCCTTGACTTGGAGAAGATTGCTCTGAACCTTCCACCCTATGCAGATGGGTTTAAGGGAGAACCCATTTTTCTAAACAATAAAGCTTATAGGAATGAGAAGTTTGCCCAGAAGCCAAGCGTCAAGTGTTGAGTGATGCACTTAGCTCATGAATATTCCTCTTTCCTGCCCTGAATGAAGCCAGAAGGCATGCAGGTTTCTATACAGCAAGAACAAAGACAGGGGACTGCTAAAGAAACACTCTAGTGGGTGGGTTGGCACAGTACTTTATCTCAGCATTGGTGCCAGGATTGAGCCCAGAGAGCTACCAAAGACCTGCCAGAAAGATTTCTTTGGGCCCACTCCTGTTCAGGAGAAAACACACATGATTCTCAGTTAGGAAAAACATGACAGTGTGATGTAGTGGTTAGAGACTAGGATCTGGGAGACTTGGGTTCAAATCTTCACTCTGCCATGGAACCTTGCTGGGTGACCTCAGGCTAGTCACTCTCTCTTTCAGCCCAGCCAACCTCACAGGGTTGTTGAGAGGATAAAATGGAGAAGAGGAAAACTATATAAGCCACTTTGGGTCTGCACTGGGGTACATGAAGCAAATGAAGTAAATAAACATGGACAGTGTCTTGTGCTGTGCATTGGATGGCCTGGGCTAGCCCTCAGATCTCAGAAGCTAAGCAGGGTCGGCCCTCATTAGTATTTGGATGGGAGACCGCCAAGGAAGTCCAGGGTTACCATGCTGAAGCAGGTAATGGCAAACCACCTCTGAACAGGTAATGGCAAACCACCTCTGAACATGTCTTGCCTCAAAAACACCCATGAGGGGTCCCCATAAGTTGGCTGCGACCCAACAGCAGTTTGCACCCATGGTATCTTCTACCGTTCCCTTGCCTGACTCCCAAGGACCTTCAGGGTAAACTCAGCCCCCAGAAGCCTGTGCCCCTAGTGTCATCCCCCCCACCCCCAATTAGCAACATGGATAAAGAAATGGTAATGGAGGAAAATTCAAGAAGAATGCAGTGGACATACCAAGCTTCAGTATCACAATGCTGGGATGTTTGGCAGCCAGCTTTTTCATCTCCTGGAATCAGAAAAGATTGTATGTTATATCACGAGAAGCTTGCGGGTTTTCTTTAGTCCTTCCTGGAGGAACCAGACCTGTTATTTATATCCTGGTAACATCTAAGCTGTAATGGCTCAAGTGGTTAAGACGCTGAACTGCAGGCTGTGGAAGGTCGGTAGTTCAGCAGTTCAAGACCTGAGTGTGCCGCATGACGGAGTGAGCTCCCGTCTCTAGTTCCAGCTCCTGCCAACCTAGGAGTTCAAAAGCAAGAAATTGCAAGTAGATAAATAGGTGCCACTTCAGTGGGAAGGTAACAGTGTTCCGTGCGCCTTGGTGTTTAGTCATGCCGGCCACATGACCACGGAAATGTCTTCGGACAGCGCTGGCTCTTCGGCTTTGAAACAGAGATGAGGACAGCAACCCTAGAGTCAGATTTGACTGGCTTTCGAGCAAGGGAACCTTTACTTTTACCTAACATCTATGCAGCCCTGACCTCGATGGCCCAGGCTAGGTCAGTCTCATAAAATCTTGGAAGTTAAGTAGGGTCAAGCCTGGTTAGTACTTGGATGGGAGACCACCAAGAAAGTCCAGGGTTGCTGTGCAGAGGCAGGCAATGGCAAACCACCTTTGTTCACCTCTACCTTGAAAACCCTGTTAAAAAGGTAAAGGTTCCGAAGACATTTCCGTGGTCATGTGGCTGGCATGACTAAACACCAAGGCGCACGGAACGCTGTTGCCTTCCCACTGAAGTGGTACCTATTTATCTACTTGCAATTTCTTGCTTTTGAACTGCTAGGACGGGAGCTCACTCCGTCATGCGGCGCACTCTGTGTGGGAACAGCCTTGGAGGCTAGGTAAAAATACTTGAGGGGAAGTATTTTTTGCTTAAGCTTTTCATGGTGTATGAAAAGAGATTTGTGGTGCAAATCTAAGCATATGAACCCAGAGTACATCCCATGGAGTTCAAAGGCACCTACTCCCCAGGAAGTATGCTTGGGATAACCGCCTTATTAAAGGATTGTTGCTTGCTGCTGCTAGTATATTCATCTTTGTTGCTTTTCTGTAATTTCTGGGTTCTTTTGATGTTTTGGGGAAAGTGCCATCAAGCTGAAGCCAACCGATGGTCACCCCGTAGGGTTTTCAAGCTAAGAGACAAACAGAGGTGGTTTTCCATTGCCTGGCCCTGTGTAGCAACTCTGGTCTTCCTTGGGGGGGTGACCTATCTGAGTATTAACCAAGGCTGATGCTGCTTAGCTTCCGAGATCTGGTGAGCTCAGGCTAGCCTGGGCCATCTAGGTCAGGGGTTGATGTTTTAGTATGCAAGTAAATGGTCCCGAGGACTTGTATTGAAAGGGAGAATGCACATTTTTAATGCATTAAAATGTATATTAATGATCTATGTTTGAATTATTTAATCTGAGTTTATTCTTGGAGAAAACCCTATTTGACATGCCACACAGCTTCTGAAATTTTTGCAGGCATTGCCCACACACTTTCAAGCCATAAGGACTAGCAACTTGATCAAAAATATTAAAGCCATAATAAAGCCCATGCTCCTGCAGAAATGAAACACACACAGAGCTCTGCAAATCCTTATCAGTAACATGCCCCCAGAAATTCTGCTGAATTATGCTGTAGATCAAAACTGTTTTCTAATGAGAAGGTTCCGCAAGGGCACATCCACCAGGCAACTGGTCATGTCTCCAAGGCTGCTTCTACATAGCGATTGCCCTCCTCACACTGCTGCAAATGCAGAGACATTTGCAGTGGCTATGGCGCATCCACATGGCGGGTTCTTCCCCACAGGGTTGGTTCCATATTTGTGTGGGCCCCGGGCAGAGAATTTCAATGGGCCCCCTTTCTGCTTGCCACCAGACCCTACTGGTCACACTTCCTTTCCACCCGCACCCGTGCCCCCCACATTCCCATGTGTACTTCCTTTACCCGTAAGCCTTCTTACCACCTTCATGGCCTTAGCCTGATGGCACTGGCCAGCGCACCTAGTTGGAGGTGCCGCCACCATCGTTACTGGGATATCACTGCCATGCACCAACTGCATGTTCCTCCTCAACAATGCTGGGCAGCATGTATAGCTGGGAGCATGGGTATTGAGCATTTGTGAGCAGGCAGGGGAAGGGGAGGCAGTAGGGAAGGCACGTGGGTGGAGTGTTGGTGGTCGTGGGCCCCACCAAAAGCCCTGGGCCTCGCCAGCTGCCTCAAGTCTGGCTGCACTGACACCGGTCCAGCCCCAACATTTTCCCTGGCCCAGTCTCCCACAAGAATTATAATACTTCTGCTCTGTGGCCAGTTCTTCCTCCCTTTAGGCCAGGTTTTTCAATGAGGCTTGTGTGGGAGACTTTCCTGACTGCGGTGAATGGACACTACTGTCTTTTGCATAAGTCCCACTGACACTCTGAGGGCCAAAGGAATGCCTTTGTTTTTGGGCTGCTAAGGCCTTCTATTTTAGCCTGCAAAGACAGCAGCATGCTGGCTTTTCTTCTTCTTTTTCTGAAAAGTAGCTCTGTAAAATTTCCTGGGGTCTAAAACTGGCCTTTCCAAAAAGGGCTGTTTGCTCAGAAATTCTTGGCTCTCACCTGCATTCTCTTATCCTGAGGATCGCGGCACGTGGCAAAGATGCGTTCTGGGGGGTTGGGCATTTCTGCGAGTTGTCTGATCAGTTCCAAACCGATGCCCCGATTGGCTCCGGTCACCATGACAGTGCCGATGTGTCCCCCGGTCATGATGATGCTAACTCGGATGCGACCTTCCTAGGCTGGTTTAATCTCTCTTGTGGTCCCGTAAAGTTTCCTCTGGGAGTTTTTGCCTTCTTTCCAGGCCCCGCCTGTTTGCTAAGTGATACCATGGGAGGGAAGGAGGTTGGCTCTTTTTATTTGTTATTACAAAAGATGGGAGTTCGTGCTGTGCGCAGTGACTGTGACTCATGGAGAAAATCTGCTTTGGATAAACAAACATGCCTTTGCAATCTGTGCCTGAGAAAGCCCTGCAGCACAGCACATTGGATTTCCCTCCCTTTCCCCCATCCATATTCAGAAGAGCACCAGGCCTGTAGCCAGAATTTTTTTGTCAGGAGGACAAATGAGTACAGTGTTCTTTGCTTCTTTTATTTATAGTCTGCCTTTCTCGCGGAGACTCGAGGAGGATTCTAGGGTATAAAGCAATGCAATTCAAAAGCATGAGAGGTCTAATAAGCAATGTTGTGGGACTAGGATTACAACAATCAGAAAAGTGCAACGAAGTATCAGACATGATCATGTCAAGCAATGCAGGAAATGGAATTACAAAAGCAGAAAAGAGTGCAGTGAGAGCAAGATAGTACATAAGCAAAGAGTTAATACATAGCATACACAGTAGCATAGATTACAATCCCATTTCCTATTGCTCTGTTACCTTTCTTATTAAAAATGCCCAACCAAAAAACTCTGTTTTACATAGTTTGCAGAAGCACAGAAGCACAGGAGCCTTTCTTCCACTTACTGAAACTCTAAACTGTAAATACAACCTCCTTTCTCTGTCCTGTGTAAAGTTTCTGCAGGGGAAAGAGAAAGCTCTGGTCATTTGAAACGGAGTATTCCCACCAAGAATGTCCATCGAATCATCTGTTACTAAAACTTCCCTGCATGGTGCATTCAGATTTTCTTCGGGGGTAACCAGGAAGCCAGGATTATGATGGGTGGTCTGTACCTCGTTCTGGAGGACAGATTGGTTCACTTCTCTGCTCATTCTTAGTCTTTGTTGCCTGTCTACATTTGAAATCTAGCGATTGTCAGTGTCCTGTTCTAGTTACAAGCCTGTCCATTTCCTGACAAGAGAACACAGAGGTTATTAAATGCCAACAGATGCCAAAGATGCAAGTCAGAGCTATAAAAACTTTTAAAATGATTCACAAACTGAACAGAAGAACTAAATTGCTAATGCAAACCTTCTAAAGTGCCACCCTGCAAATGGGTAAGATCAACAACTGCCTGTACGCATGCATTATCTGTTCTGGCTCACACCTTGTGAAATAACCTCCCTGAGGAGGTCAGGAAGGCTCCCACGCTTCTGTCCTTCTGCAAGCTGTGTAAAACAGAATGGCTCCAGAGGGCATTTTTATAAAGGTAATAGGGCTGTAGCTGCAGTGGCTCAAGTGGTTAAGACGCTGAACTGCAGGCTGTGGAAGGTCGGTAGTTCAGCAGTTCGAGACCTGGGTGCCGCATGACGGAGTGAGCTCCCGTCTCTAGTTCTAGCTCCTGCCAACCTAGCAGTTCAAAAGCAAGAAATTGCAAGTAGATAAATAGGTACCACTTCGGTGGGAAGGTAACAGCGTTCCGTGTACCTTGGTGTTTAGTCATGCTGGCCACATGACCACGGAAACGTCTTCGGACAGCGCTGGCTCTTCGGCTTTGAAACGCAGATGAGCACCGCAACCCTAGAGTCGGATTCGACTGGCTTTCGAGCAAGGGAACCTTTACCTTTTTAATAGGGCTGTACTATAACAAAATGGTTCAGGAAGGTGCTTTTATAGAAGGAACAGGGCTGTGGACGGTACTGTCACTGTTTATTACGTCGTATTTGTTTGCTGTCTGTATTATCCTGCTCTTACTGCATTGCTTTCTACCTTGGGAATGCCATTTTCTTCCTCGTTTGCCATATTATGTCTAATCATTTTTGCTCAGTTTCAAACTTTTGTAATCCCGCGTTTATTGCATTGTTTATTAGGTGTCTCATCTGATCGATTGCATTAATTTATACCGTGTGGTCCATCTTTAGTCTCAGTGAGAAAGGTGGACTATGAAATTAATATGCATAGGATCAGGCTGTGAGTATTCGTTTCCAAGTGAGTATGCATATGACCTGGCAACCATGGCACGATCCTTCAGGTGATGAATCCTGCCCCACAGGGCTTTTTTTGTAGAAAAAGCCCAGCAGGAACTCATTAGCATAATAGGCCACACCCAACAGCAGAAATTCATTTGCTTATTAGGACACACCCCTGACAGCACAGCTCATTAGCATATTAGGCCACACACCCCATGTTCGCAGAAGTGTGATCATCCAGACACACTCACCTTTTGCTTCTTATTCTGTTTACCTTGTTTGTTGTCAAAACCCAGGCCTTTTTAATAGCAGGAACTCCTTTGCATGTTAGGCCACACACCCCTAATGTAGCCAATTCTAATGAGTTCCTGCTGTTGGGTGTGGCCTATTATGCTAATGAGTTCCTGCTGGGTGTGGCCAACTCAGGAGCCAGCCGGAACTCCGTTCCTGTGCGTTCCTGCCCAAAAATAGCCCTGCTTCCCCAGCACCTTTACATCTTCAGAGCAATCACCACAGCCCTCCCCTCTGAATGTAGATTCCTATGGGGTAGCCTATATTAGGGAAAGGAGACTGGTGCTCACTTACCTCTGGGTCTAAACCCCTTATTACTTGTCTCCTGTCCTGTCAAAAATAATTCCCTCAGGAATAAGAGACCTGCAGATTATTGCGGGATGCTGTTCTGTTTTTTCTTTGCTTTGCTCCTAGTCTGCTAGAACATGATTTTTACCCCTCTCTCCTTAGTTAGTTCCCCCCCCCCACTTTCACACACACTCCTTTTCCTGCTGCAGGCTTTTAAAATCAGGGCTCTCCAGCTAACTGCCGGAGTCTGTTCTATTCCCTTACCTAAAGAATTCAGCTTGGAAAATTTATGACGGGATTCACAGCTACTAGGACCGGGGCTTTTTCGGTGGCGGCTCCTACCTGGTGGAATGAGCTCCCAGGGGAGATCTGGGCCCTGCGGGATCTTGTGCAGTTCCGCAGGGCCTGCAAGACGGAGCTCTTCCGCCAGGCTTTTGAGTAGGAGCCGCTGCCCCTACTATACCACCACCGCCATGGGTTGGACAAGGCCCTGATGAAACATCTGAATGGAAGAAGCCCTAAGCCGTCCACTTAGAACTTCGAACCTACGATCCGTCATTATGGAAGTCATTGAGCACCTTGTTTTAATTTAGGACCTTAAGATGTATTATGTTTTTAAATTCTTATGTATATTATGTTTTATTATGGCAAGGTTTTCCCTTGCCTCTGTACACCTTGCTGAGGCCATTGGGGAGGGCGGGGTATAAATGTGAAAAATAAATAAATAAATAAATAAATATTTCTACCTCCGCTCCTTCCTTTTCCCCCTTACATACAGAATTTACACGTGATCATGACAAATTTCATACTGATGGTGCTGATTGCAAGGGTATGACAAAAGTTTGGTGGGCCGCTGCCCCCTTTTGCCCCACCATGGCTATAGGCCTGAGGAGAACCCACAAAAATGCTTCATTAGAGCAGGGACACAGCTACTGTTCTCCAGTGGCACCTTGCCTGCCAGAGGGGACCCAGAATTGTGTACAGAGCACTGTTATAGCCGCCCAAAGCCTGGTCTACAGATGCAGTGGAACTAGAGCTGCCCACTCCAGCTTGGGAAATTTCCTGGGGATTTGGGGGCGGTACCTGGGGAGGGCAGAGTTTGGTAGGCAAGAGAGCTCCATAGAAATGTGGCCTTTTTGTGAGCAGTGTCTTTTTGCAAGCAGTGCGGGGGCCATGGCGTGTGGGGCTGATTTCCCAGCGGCAACTTGCCACTTGGGATTCAGGCCCGTGCTGCCGCCCTGCTCGTTGTGAGCCCCCACTGATCAGCTGGAGCCCTTTGAATCTCTGTAGGAGAGGAGGGAGAGGGGTGGCTGCAGCTTGGGAGTGGGGCTTCTCTGCTGGCTGCTGGCTCTTGCCCCTTTTCTGTTGGTTCTCTGCCTGTGTCTTGTAAGCGGCCTGGCATTTGTTTTTGGAGACTCAAGTGACTGCCAGAGAAAAGCTGGCGCCATGATGTCCCAGGTCCCAGAAGTGAGGGAACCCCCGCCTGAACCTGGGAGGTGGTGGCAACCCTACTTCCTGTGCAACGCTGGTGACGTGGACTAGGTCTTCTTTCTACTGGTGAGTCCCCCTCATCCCCCAGCTCTAATGTGGAGGCTGTTCCAGGGTAAGTCTCTCTCCGACATACTCCAGAGCTGCTTTTTTACAACGTTACGGTGGTTTTAATGGCCCATTTCTGCACAAACAGGCAGACTGAGTAGTGGGGAGTGTGGATAGGCAGGCACTCCACCAAGGTTCTCTCTAAGCTGTGGAGTCTTGTGAGCAAAAATTCTACCTTGTGAGCTACTGGCATTAAAGTTGTGAGCAAGCAGTTTGGCTACTGCATAAATTAGTTTGCTCTGGAGCCATCCTTCCTGAGCTAAGACAAAAATGCGTGAGCCGGAGGCTAAAAAACGTTGAGCTAGCTCACACTAACTCAGCTTAGTTAGAGGGAACATTGCACTCCACCCAGAGTGCTCGTGGCTGTAGGCAGGGTGAGGCCAGAGGATGCAACCCACTGCAGACACTGCTTTGCTCCGCCTAAGAAATAAGAGAGCAGTGTGGTATAGTGGTTAGTGCTGGGTGAGGAACAGGGAGCCCCGGATTCCAGTCCTCAGTTACTATGAACTTCACTGGGTGACTGTGAGCCAGTCATTCTCTCTCAGCTTAACCTACCTCACAGGGTTGTTGTGAGGGTAAAATGGAGGGAGGGAGAACCATGCATAGTGACTTGAGCTCCTTGGAGAATGGGGGGAATAAAAACATACCGCATAATTAAGGTTTTCCCAAAAAAATCTCAGTCTTTTATAATTTGTTGTCATTTGACCCTAAGATACACTGTTGGTACCTTGATCAAGTACTGAGAGATCCCAATTGATGCCCTGTGGCTAGGCCAAGGGAGTGGCTTGTTTACCTTTAAGGCGGCCCTTTTTTCCGATTAGTGTGATGAGAGATTATATTGAATTTCACTAGCTCTTGCCCCTTT